TTTGTCGTGGTTATTTGTGATCTGTGTTACCACAGAGCCTAAGAGTGGTAGGCAACTTTTCTGTTCTGTGTCTGCATATTCAGGTCTTTTTTGTTACATGCTGATGCCATTTTTACTTTATGCACGTGTTTGTGTATAATGGGCAGATGCAAATCAGATTGCCATCAGTCTAAGTTTAGAAAATGTTTTTTAATATAACCTTGCCTATTTCTATACAGTGACAAGTGGAGATATAACAGAATATTGTTGATACATACTTTAAAGCCACTGTTAATAGAATATATACACACTTACATACATAATATGTAAAAGTAGCTCTTTATCAGTATTGCTATAAGCAGCAAAATAAAGTGGAAACAAGGACTGGTCGGTATCCTATATTATATTGTATATCCTATATACAGTCTGCAGTGAGCAATATGAAAATATAATGTATTTTATGAGCACTCTGTCAGGAATACTTCTATAGTTTTGAAGTATGCCTCATTTGCCTTTGTTATTAGAGACGCCAAGAAAATCCAATGGGTGCTAATGCAGTGTGACCTACTGTTGGATAATTTTTAAACACTTTTTAATGTCTTTGTGGTGCCTTATTCATACAAATGCCTTAGTAGACAGACAGACCACAACTCTTCAATGGCATGAAAATCTACTTCAAATAGAAGCCTTTACCAATGCAACCTTCTGGCATCCCCAGTGTACCTCTACTTAAAAGCTGCATGCTTTAGGTGTTGAGTTCTGTGGGTGTCTGTGTAAAGTCGATGTTATATAATTTTTGTTATTTTTATACACTCAGTCATCACTCATTTATTTTGATTTGGGGTTGCCAGACTGATTGCACATACAAATGCATTTAGACAAACAGACCGAATGCAGAAAGCTGGCTCGACTAGTGCAGCAGGCTTGCTTTTCAAAATCAGGTGCAGGAAGGGAAGTACTTGTTTGCAATGATCGGGCATGCAAATGTAGTAACTCTATTCACAGCGGTTGCTTCCACGTCACAGCTCTGACCTTTTTGCTGCACAGCAATATGAAGCGCTAATAGCGGGTATGGATTCATCAATCACCTCTCTCCTCAGGGAACAGTGCAGCTTCCAGTCACAAGCACACTTGCGCTAGAAGACCAAACCAATAAAAGGACCCAGTTCTTTTTTAAGAGGGAGGAGCTGTAAAGGGTAGGAAAGCTGTGTGAGCCAAGAGATCAGGGCCAAGGTGAGGGTCTTCCTGTACTCGATGGAGGCAGATTAGACAGCTCTCCCACTGCCTTTAACCAGATAGAGAGTTATCTGAGGGGAGGATTAACATTCAGGGCCAGAAACAGCGTCCTGGTGTGATGTGGTGACATCGCTCATCAGCAACCTGTAGTAAGGGCATGCATGCCCAGAAGGTAAGGTCGGGAGGGTCTGTCTCCAGATGCTGAGGTATATTTGCTAAATTTGAGAGAACTTGTTTGTGTGCTCATCAGAGTCTCTGAGGCAACTCTGGAGATTGTCTAATCCAACTTCCCCCTGCTCAGAGCAGTGCCAACTAGAGAAGGTTGCTCAGAACTATGTCCACTTGGGCTTTGGGTATCTCGAAGGATCCCACAACCACTGTGGAAAACCTGTTCCAGTGTTTAATCACCTCTAGAGTTAAAAAGTTTCTTATGTTTGAACAGAATTTCTTGTATTTCAGTTTGTGCCTATGGCCTCTTGTCCTTTTCCTCGGCATCACTGCGAAGAGTCTGGCTCCATCTTCTTTACCTCCCCCATCAAGTACACATACACATTGATAAAGTACATCTGAGCCTTCTCTTCACTAGGCTGAGCAGTCTCATCTCTCTCAGCTTCTTCTCTTATGACAGATGCTCCAGGCTGTTAATTATCTTAATGGTCCTTTTCTCCACTCACTCCAGTATGTCCTTGTCTCTCTCATACTGGGGAGCCAAGCACTGGACCCAGCACTCCAGATACGTCTCACCAGTGCTGAGTAGAGGAAGGATCACCTCCCTGGACCTGCTGGTGATGCTCTTCCTCATGCAGACAAGGATACTGCTGGCTTTTTTTGTCACAAGGGCACATTGCTGGCTCATGTTTAACCTGCTGCCCACCAAGAATGCCAGGTCCTTCTTTGTAAAGCTTCTTTCCAGCCAATCAGCCCCCCAGCCTTTTTTAGTGCATGGAATTATTCCTCCCCAGGTGCAGGATTTGGCATTTGCCTGTGCTGAACTTCTTGAGGTTTCTGTGGGCTATTTCTCCAGTCTGGGTCCCTTTGAACAATAGCACAATCCTCTGGTGTTTCAGCCACTCCTCACAGTTTTGTATCATCTACAAACTCGCACTGAAGAAGCCTCAACTATGTTTTCCTGATCAGGCAGTCTATAGCAGACACCCACCACACCATTGCCCATTTTGGCCTGGCCTCTAATAGTAACATATAAGCTCTCAGCTGGCTCCTCATCTGTCCCTAAGCAGAGCTCCATGCAGCCTTGCTGCTGCCTCTCATAAAAAGCAACTTCCCTTTCCGCCATCCCACATGTCCTTCCTAAAAACCCTGTATCCATCCATGGCAGCACTCCAGTCCTGTGAGCTATCTTACCATGCCTCTGTGATCCCAGTGAGAACATTTCCCCGTGACTGCACACGAGCCTCAAACTGTTTGTTCTCCATGTTGTGTGTGTTAGCGTACAGGCACTTCAAAGATTGCTAAGCTTCCTAGAAAAGGGATGAGAGTTTTCCTTGTGTTGTCCTATGGGTGGTTACTTACTCATGTGCGTACACTTGAAGTGGGCCCCATTTAGCCCTGTTACATTGATTGTGAGATTTGTCTTGTCCACATCACCCTGTTCACTTCACTTGTCTCATCGTTCCACTACTTCCTCACTTGATTTTTGGTCCTCATCTCCCTCCGCTGTTGCTCCTAATTTAAAGCTCTCATCACCAGTTGACTAGACTGCAGTCAAAAATGCTGTTGCCCTGATTAGTCAGGTGAATCCCATCTCATCCAAGAAGTCCATGATTGTGAAAGATGCTCTCATGGTCATAAAAGCCAAATTCCTGTTACTGACACCAGATGCACAGCCAGTTGCTGACCTGCTGGATCCATCAAGCCCTCCTCAAGCCATTTCTCTTCACCAGCAGGACTGAGAATGCCACTTGGGCTCCATGCCCTTGACCGTCGCCCCTTCCAGGATCTTCCAGGATCAAACTGAAACTTGTTATTATGGTGAATATGATGGACAGGAGTTCTTAATGGATTTGCTCCTCATGGTAGAAAAAGCTATTTCTACTGCTCACTCCCCTCTCTTTCATTTCATCACCATGCAATGGATAAAATCAGGGTTGGAGTACGATACTCTATGAAAAAAGGAGAGCACAGCCTTTGGCTGATCCTATGCTTGCTGTGCTAGCAGAAAAACTGCAGTCCTGTTAGTCCTCCCAACCAGATCTGTCCCTGGAAGTCATGGCTAGATGCTTTCCCAGGCCTGTGGAAGAATGTTGTCCTAGTTCAAGAGATGGCATGCTGTTTGTGTGCTATTTGTGTTTCCTCTAGAGAAAAAGAGTTACTGAAGCATTTTTCTTACACTTGTGTGATATAAATAAATATTTCTGGATGCAGGAAGCTAACCTTTCCCTAACCCTTGGGAGTTGGTGTCCAAACATCCTTGGGTTTGCCAGAGTAATCAGAAAGGCAAACAAGCTGATGGGTGAGCCTTGCTCATTGACCTGTCTGCATTCCTG